CACACACACACACACACACACACACACACACACACACACACACACACAGGCTATCGTGTAAATTTTGATGAACGCATCCATTAGTTGTCATGGCAACAAAGACAAAGGTTAAATCGCCAGCCAGATGAGACCCTGTGAAAATTGCAGTAATATCCCAGATTATTGGCCATATTTATAATTAAAATTCCCTGCTGTCCGATTGGAAATGGGACCCCCATCACTTTACATATGCCACACATCTGTGACAATACAGGCTGCTAATTATGATGAGTGCTCAATTAACATAATGTACACTAAGGAACTCTTTGTTTTCTGTTGGATCAAAGTTAATAAGGTGCAGGTTGACACACAGCAGACATTTTCTTTTTTTTTTGGTTTCCAATCAAGTTTAGGTTGTTAATATGCCTTTGAAGCTCTGCAGTGAACATTTGCCACTTTAGTAATAGACTTAATTCATTTCTGGGAATGAGCAGGAATGATTTATAGCTAACAGATTACAGAGAGACCTGTCTGTTGCAGCACTGACAGCCAGTTATGACTCACTGATAGACACTTATGGACGTCTTTGATTTGAATCATTGTACATGCATTACCAATTAGAGTATCAGCTTAGTACTTCCCCCCCCCGTTGCTAATGGATAGCTGCAGTCTACCCCTGCACAGTGTTGAGTTACCCACTGTACTGGCCATATCAAGTACACGGACACCCAATCTAGTCATAATAAATTACAACTACAGTTGAAAAGCCAAGGTTCTGTTTTTTTGTGGCCAAACATCAGAGCATATCTGAAACCCGATATGTAGGAAAACTTGGATCTCAGTCAAAATAAGGCACAGAATGAGTCAGCCACCTGCTGTTAAATGCGGCTCACACTTCTTGGTTTTGCTGTAATAGTTGTTCCGTCAGTTGTATGCTGCTGCTAACTACTGACAGTGCGATTTTCAGCAGTGACGAAACTGGTGAAAGGCTTTTAGCAATGTGGCACAAGATTAAAATCCAAATCCTTTTAGAAAAATTAACGTGCGACCATACGCCACAGTTCTCTGTATATCATGTCAGGAGAGCCCGAGCAATGATCAGAAAAACCTTTCAGCTGGGAAGAAAAGCTGTTTGGCTTCAGAAATGTCTCTGCATTTATGGCAGATGACTGATGTGTCTGTTCTCTGTAGAAAGCTGTTACTTATCCGGGGGTAAGGATCATAAGTCATGGGTCTGAAGAGGCGCACACAGCGTTAATCTTTAGAGCTGAGTCACAGTTTGATTAAGTGTGACGCCAGGTAGGAGCGTTTCCGGTATTACCACTCAGGACGTACGCACCTGTAACCCCGGAGTGACATTTCAGCTAACGAGATTGAGGAGGACTGAGGCAGGAAGTGGAAATGAAGGGAAATAAAACTGAAATGTATCCTCCCCTTGAACTCATACAGATTCTGAAAATGCACTCAAGCGCTTGAGCTCCCAAACTAAATAACAGCATGTTGTATTTTCAGCCCGCCACATATGCTCGGTGATTTTCAGTTGGCTCCTCGTCCGAAAGGAAGCCACAGATGGAGAAGATGCCAATTGTCTGCTGGATGCTGCCTGTGTGCTGCTGGTTTTCCTCTCGCTCTTCAGTTTGGCAGGAGATCTATTGCTGGGTGGATGTGTGCTGATATGTTGACTGTATTATTACATCAATTATTTGGCGAGGGGGAGGTCAAAGCCACACCAGCATCCTGTTTCCAGAGAGGCGTGCTTTGTGTCTAGCCCTAGGCCACAATTAAGGCGAGCAGGGAGCCCAGATTCAATCACATGCATCACTCCTGTCCAACAGAAACACACTGTTCCAAACCCAACACACACTGCTATCAGAAACCATGCCCAAAGCTATACCGCCTGATAACAAAAGCTTGAAGGAGCATGTGGCCAGACTGTGACCCCTGTAATTATTCATTATGTCAGGCCTGTAGATCTTTATGATGCCTCAAACTTCTCTAAAAAGAATTAACATGTGAACGAGCTCCATGTGGTGATAGAGCGATAAACACGAATGACTGTTGAAGGTGAACATACCCTCGGAAAGTATCCAGGGAGAGCAGACGTGTTGGTTTAGCTTGAACAGCACCGTGCGCAGTTTCACTAGCATGTGATTCTTCCTGTAGAAAAAACAGCAGGGAGACAAAATAATGTCAACACTCACTGGGATAAAACACCAGTGTGGGTTACTTAAGGGGATTTGACAATTATCAGTGCTTTAAGCTCCATTCATTGTTGCACTTTTAGGGCAGATATTTAAACCCCAAATCAAACTTACATATTTTTCATATCTAGATAGTTTTCTAATCAGCAAAATAAATAATCAATAAAGGAAGAAGAAGAAACACTTTTAACATCTAACAAATCATAAAGTTTGATAACACAAATGTTCTAAAAACATGAAGCACACCACTCTGAGTTATTCTTAAGCAGCTTAATGCTCTACTTTATTAACTAGGTGCTAATGCTGTCTGTCTTTGCTTGCTGGCCAGTTAATGTAAAGTGGGCTCATTTCTTTAGATTTTACTTGGAAAATGGGAAAACGGGTGCAGTGTTTTGTTGACCTGTGGTAAAATACATGGAAATACAATACATGAGGGATAAACTGCACTATTACTAACAAGCTTTAAAGTCAGTATTTGGTACGGTCATCGTCATGCTGAAAATTCATTTTCTGCATTGATACTTGCATCAGTTTTTACAAGATCCTCAACATCACCGACTGAAATGCAACCTCAAAACATGACACAACCTCCACCTTGTTTTACAGATGGTTATAGATCAGGGGTGGGCAATCTCAGTCCACGAGGGCCGGTGTCCCTGCAGGTTTTAGATGTGTCCTCGAACAAACACAGCTGATTTAAATGGCTAAATTAGCTCCTCAACATGTCCTGAAGTTCTCCAGAGGCCTGGTAACGAACTAATCATGTGATTCAGGTGTGTTGACCCAAGGTGAGATCTAAAACCTGCAGGGACACCGGCCCTTGTGGACTGAGATTGCCCACCCCTGTTATAGATAATCATCTCTGCTGAACTCCTCCAAATATATAAAAAATAAATAAAAAAGTGTTATACAAATACATGCCATTTCCCATTTAAAAACCATGAATTCATCTCTCCATAAGACTTGATGTCCTACCGCAGTATTTTCTCCTTGTTTCACTTTCTTAAGAATTTTCTTAAGAACATGACAGTTTATGTATGTAGCCTTTCAGGCCTGCGACTTCTTCTTTTGTCCAGTTTCTTTACATTTTTAGGGACATCCTGTGTCTGTGCCAAGATGTGCCATGCTTCCAGTTAAAAGCTGTTTGGGAATTTACCTCGTCAGTGTAAAAATTCTATTTTATGTCATGTGTTTTTGTGACAGGTTGAAAAAACCTGGATAACTTTTGCTCAAGAGCACTTTTAAAAACATTACAAAAACGTCTGGCTCCTTGGAAGCGAAATATAAAGAACTAAGTGGAGACTTTTGCACACTGTACATAAAATGGCAACACATTTGGCTTTTTATTTGTAGGTAGCAACAGGTAGAAAACTTGTTTGAAAATACTGATAAAGTCAAAGGTCCACTGCTTCCTCATTCACAACTCCTCAAATTCTCTCCGCCCCACATCTTCCCCCCCTCTCACTGTGTGAAAGGCAACATTTCGATGACTCTGGCCTGTTGCCCTCTCAGTTGGATTAGCCTGGCGTGCTGGCCTCCATGCAGCATTTTAAAGAGCCAGAGCAGGAAGACAACCGCACTAATATGTCGTGATGGATTTGCGTGCCATCCAGACAACATATGGAAGCCAGAGACATTTTGCTTGAAAGAATGAGAGGAGCTATTCATGTTCACCGAAAATACATGGCAGCTCTTGCCATGAAGCCCGATGATTGGACAGATACAACACTGTATCGTTTTCTATGTAAGTCTGCTGTGTAACTGGCTCTGCTAACATTTATATCAATCATTCCATTAGTGTCTCCCAAACGGCTTGATGACTGGAGCCTCAGAGCAATTTTACAATGCATCTCGGGCTGCATAGCCGGCCAATGATAATGGTGCAGTTTAACTGCTGGATCAAACAATATTTGATTACCAGAAAAACGAAAAACATGAAAGAGATTGTGTAGTTACTTTATATTTTGCATTTCAAGAACAGTAGCAAAGATTTACTGTATATTTAAAAAATAATTTGCTTTCTAACTTAAACTCATAATGGACATACTTTGAGCTGTTTATGACTTATTTAATCAAAATATAATCTCATCTGACATAAAAAAAAATCTAATGTAATATATTTATTAGAAGCAGCATTTAACTTACATTCTCTTCTGAATGCTGTGGGCCTTGGCAGCAAATAGTCTTTATAAATTTTGATGTACAACGCCTCCTGGAAAAAGAAAAACTTTAGGCTGCCCGGTTCTGATGGAAAAGCAATCAGTGCAGGATTCTTGCAGATGATGTAAAAAACACACATGTACCTGTAGATGTAGGGTATCACAACGAATAACAGAGCGATTACAGCCAGCAGGAGTGCTGCCACCAAAATAGCTGGAAAAATAAGTAAAAGGAAATCATTCTGTACCATTCTCTGTCCATGTCAGAAACTTTATACACTACATCTCTAGACCACTCAGACCAGGATCTGAGTGGGGATAAAAGGGATGACTGCCAGTCCAAACTGTCTGCTATACTAGCCTGTGGACTCCCCTGTGGCTGTCTTTCAGTCAACCAGTGTCAAAGGGGATCCCTCAAGTGACAAACAAGAACCTAATGAAAAAGTCTTGGTTGAGCCGCCGAGGAGTAATCACTGCGGGTAATCTAACCCTGCAGGCATGTGAAAATGAAAATGTAAGGCTGTGCTGGAACAAGGATGAGAAAACAAAGACTTTGCCAGACTGCCGGAGGGCAGCACAGATACGAGCAGGGTCAACTTGAGGTTTACAGTGCAAGAGGGCACAAACACTGTAGCAAAGATGGATTTTATTTGCCCCCCCAAAAAAGGAATAGAGCTCTGAAAGCCACCGATTTGCAAACACAGGGAGATATTTTACACCTGTAGTACTGATTATGAAACTACCAAGGGTTTATGAAATCTCCACATGGTCTTCTTGCGTCAAAGCACAGGAGAGCAGAGTACACGCAGTGGAAGAACAAACAAAAAGATGCCATTTTAAGCCGAGCTGAATCCACACAAGGACATCCACTCTGAACAAAGAGCGGTCACTTAATCTCCTCGGAAAAGTCATGGCATCTCCGGTGTCCATTCATAAAAACACCACAAAGCTCTCAGCACATGAACCACATTAGAGCTCAGCCACAGACATGCTCGCTCCATCAGTAACCGTTGGTATAAATAGAAAATGAATGGTAGACACCGAAACAACTGAATTAATTTGAGTTCATTGATGTATAAAAGTCGAACAAAGACTTAATAGGAGTCGATCCTGTAGATTTCCTTGTAAGAATTAAGGGCTCAGCAGGTGACTTGTGGTCTGTGGTGTGATACAGAATACACTACTAACACGATTAAAGGATGCATCTGATAGCAGCTTCACAGAAACATGTGCTTAAAGAAATGATCTCATGCTGCCCTGTGGCCAATCAATCTCAGACACTGAAGTAAACTTTTAAAATTCCCTAGCAGAGCACCTCATACCTTTCTTGAGCTGCTGACCAGACCGTTACTTAAGGTGAACAATTCCTATGGGGAGTTTGTATAATCACCGGTCTGTGGAGCTAATGGAAGCTCATCATACTGTGAGAGGTGCAGTCACACTGACCATAACAGATAATGGCTACTTGGCCTTAAAAGTCTGATCTACAACATAATCTGCAATATTGTTAAGTAGTGTGTGCATTATGGAGAGAGGCGCTTTCAAAATCCCATTACAACCCTAATCCTTCCACACTCCCTAATGTATTACCCACAATGCTCTACGAGCCAGAAGCAGGCCTTCAAAACAAGCAGAAAAGCTTTTCTTTTATCCCTTTTCAAGAAAGCGAGTCTGATCTGATCAATACACATCATGTCCCAAGAGATGGAGGAGAACTGCTGCTCAGTGGATGTGGACAAAAGCAGTGATTCTCCTCTTTGCTGACTCAATTAATGGGATCAAAGGCTTGGCCGGAGTTTGCAGACAGGTACCTTTGCTGTCACTGCGCCCTCACAGCCAAATCCCAGCAGTGTCGGTCAGGGATTCAAAACATGGAAATTTGTCCTCATGTATTTTTCAGTAGTGCTGCGTACTTACGCAGATAGGCATTATTTGGTCTTCTATCCACAATCTGAGTGCAGCTGCAATTATTTGCATCTAGGGTGTAAATCCAAATAGAGTAGTGACCACCTTCCTCATACGTTTGACTCCATCTGCATGCAAAAACAGTGAAATAGTCACACAGTCTTAAAAGCTCCTATTTGATGCCCCGTTAAACTGTTTTCTTTAAAAGCACATTGCTGCTCTCCTGCTGCAGTAGCACAACTATAAAGCTCAGGAGCACCACCTAGTGTCTGAAGGCTTAAAGTGCATGCCCCGGTCTTCTCACCATCTCCAGTTTCAGGCCCCCAAAAAAAACATCCCTGTGCAAGACTCGCTCATATTGATCCACTGTTGGGATGACATACTAGCTATCACTTGGAGTGTTTTTTTTAAACTGGGAAAAGTAAATCAATAGCAACACAGGCTGGTTAGAGACCTCAGCATTGATTTAAGAAGACCCAGCCCTTTGAAAGGACATAAAAAGCACAAAGGCTTTTCATGGTGCACCATCTCTTAGAGGTGGCCCCAAAATAGAAAGCTTTGCCCTCCTGTGTGGGATGTTCTGGGTGTTTATACATATTAGATCTGTCCTAACTGTTTAACATCCCAGCTGATTCTTCCCCAGGACATGTGGCTTTCAAGCTTTAATGAGCCCTTTTCATCAATATTGGAATGTCAGGTCTTATTAACCCCAAAACAGCCTGTGATCAATACACTGTGAGGTGGTTTAAGGGAGGGCATAACTCAGGTCCAGAAAATGGGTCAGGGTTACTCCTCCAACCCTGTAAATAATTTCACAGGCTGCTGATGCAATCGTGTCACCACACTATATTATATCTTAAAACAAGAGCAATTCACTTTCACAGGCAAACAAGCAAACAAGAGACAACTTGCATCTTATTTGTTTTAAGTACCACCTTGAACAAATGTTTAACTTGTTACCTGCAAAAGGTTGCATTCCTGGTTTGTGATTCCACTTGTACTGTCAGAGTAAATTTGGTGCTGATTATTGCAGATGCATTATTGTTGTTGGGTTTCACTGTGACCAAATGTTGGAACAAACACTGAAAAGCAAAACAAATAAATAATAATTAAATGGGCTTAGCATTAACTTAATAAAAATGAATAATTGTTTGTTAGTAAAAGAATAATTTGATTTAATGATTTAAAGGAATGTGCAAAAAGGGAAAAATAGAGTTTGTACAATTCAGACAAGCTGGAAAGTCAATATTTAATCTTCCTTTAATCTTCAACACAGTCTGAACTTGTAGCTTCCTTGTAATTTCTTCAAGTAGTCTGTTGGAAGAGTTCTTGAGGCTTCCTGAAGGAAATTCAAAGCTCTTCTTTGGATGTTGGCTGCCTTTTGGTCTTTTCTCTGTCAAGATGATCCCACACTGCTTCAATAATGTTGAGGTCCGAGCTCTGAGGAGGCCAATCCACGACTGCTAGTTTTGCACCGTGTGGTTTTTCTATCTAGGTACGCTTTTACAGCACTGACACTGTGTTGGGGATCATTGTCGTGCTGGAAAATGAAACTGTTGCCCATCAGATGCTTTCCACATGGTGCTGCATTGTGGATCAAAATTTGATGATTCTTTTTTGTGGTCATAATTCCATCAATTTTGACAAGACAACACTATCGACTGAAACGCAGGCTCAACTAGGATTTGGATTCATCACTCAGTAAGACCTGTTGCCAATAATTCTTTTGCTTCTGTGTAATTTTGGCATTTTTTCAGCCTTTCATTTGTTTCTTTTCAGCCAGCCTTCCATTGAAACAATTTCTCATAAAACTCCTTCTTCTTCCTTTTCTGTCCCCCACTTGTCCAGTTTCCTTACACTTTTTAAGAACATGGAGCAATATGCCACGTTTCCAGCTAATAGCTCTGGGAATCACCTTGTTGATTTTTATGAGAGGATGCTATTAACAAAGTGCCTAAAGATTAAATTTAAAATTGATTCTTTGTCTGTCTTTGCCTGTGTAGACACAACACTGGTCCATCCCTTGAGTTAAGTGCCTTTTATATGCATGCATGATTCATAGGTCAGTGTTAAGTGGTTTAACAAACAAAACACATTCCTCTGGAATTGGTCAGGACTGAAAAAGAGTGAAAAAGCAGCCAATGTCCAGAGAAAACTGCTGAGTGACCTTCAGAAAGCCTGGAGAAATATTGCTCAAGACCACTTTAAAACATTGCAAGAAAAGTCTGGCTCCCTGGAAGCAAAATATAAAGAAATGACAGGTGGCTCAAAAACGGTTGCACAGTAAAATATAATTAAAGGTTGGATGGTATTACAATGTGCAGAGCAGTGAATTTAAAAGCCAAGACGGCCTACGTATAAACAATAGGTCTACTCATTGATAAACTAAGTTGGGAAACACCCGGTGATAATTCCTTTCCCAGGCTGTATGGAGTGAGTAATAGTGTTACAGTTTTACAGGGCAATCATAGAAAGCTTATTCAATATGAAATTACAGCATGGTTTAGTAATCTAACAATGCACTAAAAAAGCATGGCTGCAAATGAATTTTCAGAAATGAAAAAATACAAGTCCACACAGAGCCTGCCTAAGCAGGCAGTTACTTGTAACATCCTCTCGTCTCAGGATTCAAACATTTGACATGAGGAAGCATACTCAAGGTGCCAAAGTTCAAAAGGTATCATATGTTCCAGCCTCCATTATGCTGCTGAACAGCAGTGTTAAATTATTCAGGGAACAGCACATACTTGGACTTTAAGCACTAAATATTTCTTACTTTATGCTTATCTTGTGTTTTCATACAGGTTTATCTGGTTTTACGTATATTCATATGTCTCGTGATGTTTTTATGATGTTCCCTTTACGTTTCCTGATGTCTTTAATAATTCATGGTTGCTTTTTCCAGCAGTAACTGTAGTGCTGTACCCACAGCACATTCCTCTCAGAGACAATCAAGCTCATTTTATAACAAAGGAGAGAAAATCACACATTTCCCTTATGTGAAATTTGACAACAACTTCACAGTGAATTACAATGTTTATCTTTACTGCATCTGTATGTTTGCTAAGATCAGTTTGCGTGACTATAAACTTTTTGAGGAACTGAAAGCGATTTTCCTGCTGATGCTGTGTCTTAATAAAACCACAGTGATGGTGGATATTCTTTACCTTGTAGCAGTAATCTGATGTGTAGGAAGCATGCACTTCTTCAGTCAGCTGGTTATGAAATATGAGCAAAGCCTGATCCATTTTCAGATGAGAGCCTGCATAGATTTAACACAGGCCTGATTTATTAGCTGAGAGTTCTCTTGGACATTATAAAGACAAGATAACAGGACATGGCATCTAATCACTATCACCACTGACTAAATTACCATACTAACATGTCCATTTGTTGTAATTCAATTCGAACCAGAATTAAGGAGACGAACAGTGACTTTCACAAGAAGATCAAAAGAGTATAGACAGTACAGTTTTTGCTGCTACTACCAGGACATTTGTGCACAGATGCCTTCACCAGAGCGATCCCCACCCTCCTCACCATTTTCGATGTGTCCTCCGATGCCGCTGGTAAAGAGGATTAACAAAGTTAGACTTGCATGTAGCAGCGTCCTGGACTCCATGTTTCTAGCCGTAACCAGCCTTGTCTACTGCTCATCTTTATAACTCTCACAATATAACCTGCGGTCAAAGGGCAGTATGCATACGTAATTGTTGGTTCCCTTTTTATGTGCTGTTTTGTGCTTACATTTAAGATCACATGTAATCATTGTCATGATTTGACATGAGGGATGCTAAGTGAAATCAGACTAATAATCAGTGAGTTTAAAACGGTCACAGGTATGTATCTGTGGCTCTGTATTAATGCCACAGTCAGCAGACACTCTCCGTTTCACCCCAGTCTAATGGTTTTGTTCTAAATCACAGCTAACTAAATCGCTTTAGCAGCGCTCTCATTTCCAGGTCCAGTCAGCTGTTAAATGCTGATCTCCTGTCACATCCTCTCCCTGTTTTCATTCCATTAACCACTTCATTTCTCTGAGCGCTCACAGTGACAGATGAGTTCACCGGGGCAATCTAACAAGAGCGGGTTGTTAACCTTTGACATGAACTCTGGTAAGCTGAAGAGCCAACCTCCTTTTTAAATCTGATGTCAACTGGAGAAAAGACATTAATATCAGCAGGTAAATATTCTTAGGATTAAGTTCATGTTTGATATGTGTGCATAAAAGGTACAGTGTCTTCTCTCTTCACACAGCAAACACTGCTGCACTGGCCTTTGTGCTGAATCGTGCTACAATAGCTGGCCTAATGCATGCCTTGTGCAACAGATGATAGTTTATGATTAAACCCATGCTGATAGGTGGTTGAATAGCTTAGCAGCAGTGAGGATTTTTGCTCAGGCTCCTGCAAGGGCAGCTAGGCGGGGACCATGAATGGATTTATTCCAGTTGCTCTCACTGGCTCCCACAGCAGATTTGCATCTGTGCAACAGGCTGCTGGAGCTGAACCTTCCCCGTGCATGAAAAGCCTCTGCAGACATGGTGAGTACACAACCTTTCTACACTGTCTGCCACATGGAGCTGTTGACATTTCCTCGCTGTCACAGGTAGCACTCTGCTCTACATTATAATATTTCATTGCAGACTGACATTTCAGGTTTTCAAGCTAGATAAATACAATAAAGTGTCATGCATGCTAACATGAGTTTGGAGGAGGAGAGATGTTCACAGCAAGCCACGGTGAGGTTTGTTTGAAGTTTGAGGTTTTAACCAGCGGTAATCGTTTCTGTAGTGCCCATTCATGCCACAGATCGAGCAGATTAGACCGTTGCTATGATACCTGTTGATGTCACTGCTCGGTCTGAGGCTCTGGTCCTGACATCTGTTTGCTCTGCTGGTACATAATTGTGACTGCTCAGCTGGGGACAGAGCATTCATATGTAGATTGTGCAATAAAATGCTATCTATTTGGACGATGTTATGCAATGTTGACTCTGCAGTTTAAATACGTAGTCTGGATCGTGAGGGCTGAATGACATAAATTTCACTTTGAACCTGTGTTGTGACCCTGCATCATGTGCTAGAGGAAAAGACCAACCACCACCACCCCCTCTCCACCACCACCACATACCTTTGAACCAGCTAGATTTTTAAACTAGGAATGTGGCCTCTCATTGTTTCCAGATGGGATCCTCTACAACCAATCAGAGTTTGTGTTTGTGAAACTGCCCCTCTCAAATCTGCTGCACTGTTCCCTCTGCTCTGTCCTCACAGGCTGGTAAGGTCCAAGCTCTGACTGAAGAGGAGAGGGCCCACATACTCCCCCTGCTACGCAACGCTCAGTGGGTGGAGGTCGTTGGACGAGATGCTATTTACAAAGAGTTTATTTTCAAAGACTTCAATCAGGTTCTTGCATCATTGTCAAATATCACTTTTAAACTTAAATGACCCATATAACCACTCTACCTTTTTATTTTAATTATTTTTATTTCTCCCCCTCCAGGCTTTTGGCTTTATGTCCAGAGTGGCTTTACATGCAGAGAAGTTGAACCATCATCCTGAGTGGTTCAATGTCTATAATAAGGTAGGCAAGCCTAATAATACATGAAAATAAGATTACAGCCTATGGGGTGGGGGTTATTTTCCTGGCACCGTGGACAGCTGGCTTTTGTTACTATAGAAAAGCCCAACATTGGGATCATGAATTGGCTTCAAAATGACCTCTCTTAAATGTCATTTTTTGCCTTAAAGCAATAAAGAACATATGTATTTTTTGTTTTTGAATTTAAAAAGTTTTTTTTTTTTTTTTTTTTTAACCCAGGGTTAGGGGAAGATTGGATAAGTAATTTTCACCCAAAGCTCTAAAACACCAGATACCTAGTCGACACCAAATGTCAGGTAAACGACTAGCTAGCTGTGAACCGTTTAAAGATGGCAGCTGCAGGTCTCTTCGTCGGGAATTTAACCCATGACTGTGTCTAAAAATTGTGCTAACAGACTTTTCTCAGCGTCAAATGTGTAACCGGTTAACTGCATCTATGTTACACGGCAGCCAATTTAGCATAAAATTATAATTGAACACAGGTGTTACTAAAAGCGTGTCTTGTGTAGGCACGAGCCCTAATTAATGTGATTAATACCACGTGAGTTTCTCATTTCCAAGTTAAAATGGCTTTTGCTAAACTTGCAGCGTTTCCTGTTGGACACTCAGGGTGTCGTCTGGTTTTGTCAAAACGTTAAAGGACATTTTCCCAGGGTCTTACCTTGTGCTGATGCTTCACCTGTAATGACTCCATAACAAATTGCGGCAAAGCTCTTTGTCGAGTGGTATTTTGAAGCAAACGCATTCAAATTTGCATTGATTCACCACTTTGCGCATTCTCCTTAACGCAGGTCCAGATAACTCTCAGCACGCATGACTGTGGAGGGCTGTCCCAACGTGACATCTCTTTGGCCACCTTGATTGACCAGGCATCTCTAATGTGAGCAGAATGTCACCGGTCAAGGCAGAGAAAACTAAAGTGCTCTTCACATGTTTTTTTTTTTTAAGGGGGGGTAATTATTAGCTCAAGGAAATGGTATAAATTCCAATGGTACATTCATCTTTCTGTCCCAACTATAGGCCCATTCCTGCCAGAGCGCAAAGCGATGCTCCGCCAAGTTCTCAACAAGCGAAGAAATAAAATACTGTAATTGAACTAATCTGGCTTAAATTTAAACCTCATTAAAGAATATCTAATGATCCAATAAACCAAACTGTATGGTCAAAGCTGTAAAACTGATATTTGCAGCTTATTGCATATGTTTGGAGTTCCCAGTCAAACTTTTTTGGGGGGCAGCATCGTATTTAAATAAATCGTACATACACGATTTATTGATGTGTATACAATTAACTTCAAACTGTGCTGAAATTAATACCGGAAACACGTCTGACAGTAATTGTGTTACATTTGTTTTGCTCCAAATGATGAGGGTGCTAAAGCTTTGGCTGTCACACAACCATAAGGATGGTTAATACAGGCAGCAAGTTCATTTCTTGACAGTGATCTGATGGGTTTGCGATGTTTCAGGGTGTTGGTCAGGTTTCCAATCAGACTGGTCCATCATCACATGACGTGCAGAGAGGAAAACGGTAATGTGCGCATGCAGCACAGTAACTTCATTAACTGGGAGTATGGTCAGGTCCTGACCGTAAATGAGTTTGTGTTCGTCTACACCGTATTGTACCGCAGTCAAGTGAGCCCTCACATACGAAGTCACAATCAAGCTAGCCGCACCGCCAGCCGCACCTAAAATGTTGTTGCACTATTCTTACGCATATAACGGTACGGGTGCCGAATGGCTTAGAAACGCGAGTTTTCTGTATACTGGCATTTACGATTTTACTGCTCAATCCACTTCGACTTTTGAAATATTAGCAGTTGATATATAACAAATTACTTTATGATTCTCACACTGCACATTGAAAATAACAGAAAATGTTATATATTCTGTAAGAGCTGATAATATATACAAAGCATTGTCTTCTCACTATACTGTACATTTCTGTTCAACCTGACCTTATCCCCAACTAAATAAAATTGCTGTACTGTATTTTTGATATTGTGGGGGGTTTTGTGTTGTTTTTGTTTGTTTTGGGGTTTTTTGTTACAAGAAAATTGTTTGAGGTGACGCTAATATTTCACTGGATTCTTCCTCTGAGTTACCTCCACTCTTCCTCCTCTGCCTCACAGCCCAAAGAATTGTACAATTTCAGAGAAAATTAACAGTAAACTCTACTCAAATTACATTACTATAATTCCAATATTCTCATCTTTGAACTGATAATACAGGGAAGCTGTAAGAGGTGACGCTAATATTTCACTTGATTCTTACTCTAGGTCATCCTCACTCTTCCCACTCCGACTCACAGCCCAATTAACTGTATGGTTTCAGAGAAAATTAACTCTACCCAATTTACATATTCTCAACTTTCAGCTGATATTACATGGAAACTGTAAGAGGTGATGCCAATATTTCACTGGATTCCTACTCTGGATCACCCTCACCCTTCCTCTTCCTGCTTACAGCCCACTGAACTGCCTACAGAAAATTCTACATAGAAAGATAGACAGATGCTGTATTTATCCTGCCACATAATGAAGAGTTATTGTACACTTTTACAGAGAGAACAATAGGAATGATTTCCTGAAGTGTTCTTCATGGCTGAAAGTTTGAATCAGAGGGAGGAGCCGTGCTTCTTTACAAGGGAGGAATGGAGCAGGTGTGATGGGTTGTCCATAATTTTAGTGACCTCTGACCCTTGCTGACTCAAACTCCTCCAAATTCTCACCATTGCTGCTTCTAACCTTGCAGAATAATTTGTTCTTCCATTTGGCATCTCTGGCAAGCGATGCCAAGATTTAATTCACTTTATCAGTTGAAATTAAAAGTTACAGCGCGCTGGGCCTCAAATCAAATCACGTCCGTCAGCAGTTTGAATATTGTGAGAATAGCATATATGTACATTATGGAGTGCACAGTGTTGAAGTTCCGGTAGGTGAGAGCGAGGCGTCTATGAAGTGTCACTGTTCAGCAGTCTGATGGCCTGATGGAAGAAGCTGTCCTTTAGTCTGCTGGTTCGGGACCGGATACTGCAGTACCTCCTGCCTGACGGAAGCAGTTTGAACAGTTTGTGACTGGGGTGACACGAGTCTTTGATTGATCCTTCCTGCTTTCCTCTGACAACGCTTCTTGTACAGCCGCGCTCAAAAGTTTTGAGAATGACACAAATATTAGTTTTCACAAAGTTTGCTGCTAAACTGCTTTTAGATCTTTGTCTCAGTTGTTTCTGTGATGTACTGAAATATAATTACAAGCACTTCATACGTTTCAAAGGCTTTTATCGACAATTACATGACATTTATGCAAAGAGTCAGTGTTTGCAGTGTTGGCCCTTCTTTTTCAGGACCTCTGCAATTCGACTGGGCATGCTCTCAATCAACTTCTGGGCCAAATCCTGACTGATAGCAACCCATTCTGCCATAATCACTTCTTGGAGTTTGTCAGAATTAGTGGGTTTTTGTTTGTTCACCCGCCTCTTGAACAAGTTCTCAATGGGATTAAGATCTGGGGAGTTTCCAGGCCATGAACCCAAAATTTCAACGTTTTGTTCCCCGAGCCACTTAGTTATCACTTTTGCTCCACCATGCTGGAAAATGCATTGTTCTTCACCAAACTGTTGTTGGAAGAAGTTGCTGTTGGAGGGTGTTTTGGTACCATTCTTTATTTATGGCTGTGTTTTTGGGCAAAATTGTGAGTGAGCCCACTCCCTTGGATGAGAAGCGACCCCACACATAAAAGGTCTCAGGATGCTGTTGGCATGACACAGGACTGATGGTAGCGCTCACCCTTTCTTCTCCGGACAAGCCTTTTTTCAGATGCCCCAAACAATCGGAAAGAGGCTTCATGGGAGAATATGACTTTGCACCAGTCCTCTGCAGTCCATTCACCATACTTTCTGCAGAAGATCAATCTGTCCCTGATGGGTTTTTTTGGAGAGAAGTGGCTTCTTTGCTGCCCTTCTTGACACCAGACCATCTTCCAACAGTGTTCGCCTCACTGTGCGTGCAGATGCGCTCACACCTGCCTGCTGCCATTCCTGAGCAAGCTCTGCCCTGGTGGCACTCTGATCCTGCAGCTGAATCCTCTTTAGGAGACGATCCTGGTGCTTGCTGGACTTTCTTGGACACCCTGAAGCCTTCTTAACAAGAATTGAACCTCTTTCCTTGAAGTTCTTGATGATCCTATAAATTGTTGATTTAGGTGCAATCATAGTAGCCACAATATCCTTGCCTGTAAAGCCATTTTTATGCAACGCAATGATGGCTGCACGCGTTTCTTTGCAGGTCACCATGGTTAACAATGAAAAAAAAAAAGGATATTCAAGCATCACCCTCCTTTTAACATGTCAGGTCTGCCATTCTAACCCAATCAGCATGACATAATGATCTCCAGCCTTGTGCTCGTCAACATTCTCACCTGGGTTAACAAGACGATTACGGAAATGATCTCAGCAGGTCCTTTAAGGACAGCAATGGAATGCAGTGGAAAGGTTTTTGGGGATTAAGTTCATTTTCATGGCAAAGAAGGACTATGCAATTCATCTGATCACTCTTCATAACATTCTGGAGTGTATGCAAATTGCTATTATACAAACTTAAGCAGCAACTTTTCCAATTTCCAATATTTATGTAATTCTCAAAACTTTTGGCCACGACTGTAGATGTCCTGGAGGGAGGGAAGCTCACCTACAATTATCCTTTCAGCACACTGCACAACTCTCTGGGGAGCTTTGCGGTTGTAAGCGGTGCTGTACCACGTGGTGATGCATTCAGTGAGGATGCTCTCAATGGCACAGCAGTAGAAGGTCCTGAGAATGAGGGGGCTCATGCCGAAACCCTTCAGTCTCCCGAGAAAGAAGAAGCGCTGCTGCGCCTTCTTCACCGTTTTGTTTTTGTTTACTGACCATGTAAGATCCTCCGCCAGATGTACACCTAGGAAACGGAAGCTGCTCAGTCTCTCCACAGCAGCGCCGTTGACGGTGATGGGGGTATGTGCTTCTCTACACATCTGGAAGTCTACTATCTAGCACACCTGGATGTGAACCAGCGGTCTGCTTCACAAAAAGGATGCCCCTCTTAGCAGCCAAAACAGTTTTATACGACAACAAAAACAAGTATTAGTATGACTATCTTCTTCTGGATAGTGACGCGGCGGTCCTGCCATTTCCCCCTGTGGATCTTCTCCTCCATTCCGTCCACGTCTCAACTCGTCTGCTTCTGCTACTTTCCTGGAAAAAAAGAAAGAAAGAAAAACACCTCCCTAGCCAAACCTGGATTATTAATATTATCTAGCAATTCTTAGCCTGTTATTTTGTACCTACACTGAACAAAAATATAAACGCAACACTTTTGTTTTTGCTCCCATTTTTCATGAGCTGAACTCAAAGACCTGAAACATTTTTTTACACACACAAAGGACCCATTACTATCAAATATTGTTCACAAATCTGTTTAAATCTGTGTTAGTGAGAACTTCTCCTTTGCCGAGATTATCCATCCCTGCTCACAGGTGTGGCACGTCAAGGTGCTGATTAGACAGCATGAATATTGCACAGGTTTCCCTTAGACTGCCCACAATAAAAGGCCAATGTCGGAACTGGGTTGACGACCAGGCCGCACAATCTTCATATCTGGGCCTCATCTAGTGTCCAGAAATCCAGCTGTTACACACACACACCTCAGGTTTTTACAGCGAAGCAGCCCTTCTCTGGAGGAAACGCACCACCTGCCTCTCTTGAACAGCTGTCTCAACAAGATCACACACCTCCCATCAGTTTTAACCGGTTACAAATTCACTTATTCTGCAAGTAAATAAGCGAGGAACAGAGAGAGCAGGAGGGAACCTAAGTTGAAACTGTGCACAGACGACTTTAAGATTTGTACATTAAGGCAGTCTAACATTTGATCGCGTGATCCGTGACAAATGAATAAGTATGTAAACTGCCACTATGTTTACATGCTCCGCTTAACGTGGAAATGCACGTGGTCGGTGCGCTCTGGTAGTTCATCACATAGCACCACACCTCTGGTCCCAACAAAAGTGTTTTTCAACTTTGTCATTAAAATGATTTTTCCCCGTCACACTGTTTCCTGTTGTAACTTAAAAAGACGACTAAGAAATGATTTGAATCCATTTTATTGAAAACATCACTGTAGAGCCATCTGCTACAGTCAGCTAAGCCCAATCCCCGTTGTTGGAAAGACTGCAATGTCAGCACGAGGTCAAACACATCATTGCTACATAATGTCACTGCCAGTGAAGATTTACTGCGCAGACCTTCAGAGAATCTGTTACAGGGTTATCTGTGCCAGCTACTGCCTAAAACAACTTACACAGAGTTCTTGAACATTCAATCATCAGTTTGTAGTATTTCTTCAATGCAACAGGATTAGTCCTTTTTAATTTTTTGTATCAGCATGGCTTTCCGCACCTTATTACTGACCACAGTATTTCAGGATGAAAGCATGGACACACGATGGTATGAACTTTAATTGTTAGCTGGATTGTTTAATCAGTCTTTAAACCAGGCACTGGCTACAAGATGGGAAATTCTTGCACATGTGAGACTAATTACATTCATGCCAAATCTCTTCAAAAAGCTCCCAGTAAATAAAAACAGTTAAAACACAAACGTTGACAAAAAGAGTAAAATGAAGCAAAAAGGAGCGGTCACACAAATGCTTAAAATTTACTCATCAAGGCTGATAAGTTGTCATTCACTACAATGTTTCTGCTAAACATGTAGAGCCTTCCCATTTGTTACACTTCATCAAGGAGAAGTTACATATTGCACAAAATTGAACTAAATTCAAGGAATTTTCAGCAATGTTAGATGAAAGCTTGTGAGAAACAGAGAGCAAGGTCCTTTTGGTGTTACAGTATGCATTGTTAAGTTATCAATCTATGAGTAACATATCCTGCTGAGTAGATATTTACTAGAATACATCATGTCCACAGTCAGTCAGGGCAAACAGCTGATTTCTCCCAAGTTTAAAGAATCTCCATCTGTGGATCGGTCACAGCGGAGATGTTCCCTTTCAGTGTATTTACGAACACTTTAGTGCAGTCTGTCAAATGCCCCAAATGCTGTAACGCTTTTGTTATGTGAGAAATGGAAAACTGACGCCCAGTTTGAATGGATTTCACCGGATGAAATAATGACGTTTGCATTTAGTGGAAACTGAGGTAGATTGAATTAGGACACAAATTATTACAACGAGGTGACACACAGGTGACTTTGCAGAATACAGAGGAATAATTGAGTTTCTGCTACTTGATAAGTAACTGATAAGTAGCTGGAGAGATTTGGATATCACTAGCCTCTTTCAAAATATTAATGCCCCTGTTCTCTCTTATTAAAATTAAGAGTTTTAGTGGATATTAATAACATTAAAAACTCCCATTCCCACCGTCTATAATACCAACCACAGTAGATGAACCACAAATGAAGGTAAATGAGTGCTAACAAAACAAGGACATACATGTTCAGGTTTGCAGATAAATTCTGGTTTCAAGTGATGTACATATTAACCTGATATGTAGTTTTTAGGGCACTGCAATGCTTTTACATTAAACCGCCCTTTTGATGATAATACACAGGTATGTACAGCCAGTTCAGAGCAGTGCATCAGTTTGTAAGCTACAGGCAGCGCAGCGATTCTAGCACATTTTGAGCTTTCGAGTGGTTTGTTTTTGCAAAGTCGTCGTGGACAGTGAAGTGAAGCGGTGACGGCATTGAAATGTTCTAGTATTAAAAAAACTGAAAGGTTTTATTATGCAATCAGTAGATATCATGACAGACGTGTATTAAATGAAAGCTAAAATTGAAATGAAATGTAAAACAGAAAAAAACAAACACATTTCCTCAACATAATTTAAAATCAAATCAGAGGTTAAAACTCGTTTGGACCCAGTCATGTCTTCTCTGTACCATTTAGGCGCAGTGTTATAAGGAATTTCCCTCTAGGCTGATTAGAATGACAATGGCTTGTGCTTCAAAGATTGCTGCAGATGTTTGTTTAAATATATATATGGTGCAGGTATGCAAGATAAGGCAACCGTTGAACGATTTAAAAATCAGAGCTCTGGGAGGAGGCGAGAGCGTTTCCCTGCATGCAGTGTTGTCGGGCCAGGAGGGACCAATCCCTTTTCAGTGGGCTTTGCCGTTGCCATTCATGTGGCTGATGTTTGACTTGGTCACCTCAGTGCTGTAGAGACAGTCCAAGAAACCTCGGGAGATCTCTGTCACCAGGGATCTATCTGGGATGGCCTGGGCCATGCCGTAGATCGCTCCCTGCAAGAGCAGGAACATAAGTGAGCTTACAAACATCCAGACACATCATCTGTCTCCTAAAACAGGTTTTCTCTTAGCTACATACTTTCAGACGCAGAAGGCAGCTGCATTAATAAAAAGTTCCAGTTAAATGGCAGCACAGATGTTACAGTTTTTGTTTGTTTTTGTTGCATTTGGATTCATATAACCTCTTGTACCTCTCCAATGTGATGAGTGAACTGACTGAAGAACAAATGAAACTTGAGAAATTGAGAAACTAACCTCTAGTTATATGGAATTCACCTTAATCTGCAGCAAGATCTGTTCTCAGTGTTAACTACGCTGCTGACAAACCTGTCGGGCACAGTGCTGCTTGTCCCACGTGGGTGGAGTTTAAAAGCTGACACACAAAATAGCTGCTTGTGTCGACTCAAATCGAAGGTTTTATACAGCAACAATGCAAAATGACACTTCCCTTCCCCAAATACCCACAGAACGTTAAACAGAAAAGAAAGCTAAATACACAGCACTCAGCATGGTTCCTCTCCAGTGGCTACACTAGCGAGCACTACAAAGGTGAAGTCAGCTTGATTTGAATGATAAAGGTATAGTTTGGATCTACAGTAATATGTAATCTCCCTTGGTTTCCTCCTACAGTCCAAAGTCAGGTGAAGTAGCTGAATAAGGTATGAATTTATCTATATGCAGTAGGCTTAGACTGTGACCCTGTCAATACAATAGGATTACAACATCCTGTCATGGATCATCAAAGCAAAACTGTGATGTAATAATAAAGAAAGATTGGTGTCTTTGTCTTATTTAAACTTCTTAAAAAAACCTACGTGTTAATGATGACTATGTAGATAAGTAAACCAAACTCACCATTCCTGTAGTTTTCTCTTTGGGGTTCTTCATGATGATGGCGACCTGCTCTTTGACATCACGAATAAAGTGATCAGCGACCCCTGGCTGCGTGTGCAAAACTGTGCAGCAAAGGTGGATGCTGTGAAAGCAACGATTGTGAGGTGTAAATATTTATCATGCCATCACATTTACTGAGACGTTATCGTTTGTTTTACACCTACCTGGACGGGTACTGCAATGTGTTCAGATTCCAGCCCTTTGACGTCAGTGCGTTAGACAGACGGAAAATATCAAAATCATCCGAGCCGATGGCCACCACCGACACCTCCGGATCCCCAAACACAAACACCCCTTTTATCTTGCGGATTCTGACAAACAGAGAAGAAGACAGAAGAATGTTAAAGAACATAATAAATTACAGACTCTGTAATTTACTATGTTCAGTGTAACAAGTCTGTGTCTTACTCTGTTTTGATCTTGTGAGCTGTGCTGACGATCTTCTTGGTGGCGTCTACGTAGCCGTTCTCTCCCATATACATCATGGTCGCCCAGCAGGCGGCGATGATTCCTCCTGGCCTGGAGCCCGCTATAGAGGGTGAGGCATAGATCCCCCCTTGCCAGTCAGCAGCTACAAAGTATTGGTACTGACGGTACTTTTTATCGCTGTAGAGGATCACTGAGGAACCTTTCGGGGCGTAGCCATACTGGAGAGAAACGTAACACATGCGCACAAGGTGCAGAATTAAAACAAGCATATCCCTGTACATACCACACATAAAACAATCTATGTGTGGTATGTACATATGCACACATGTATATTGTTCTAGAAAGATTTGATCTGAAGGCTGTTCAGCCACTCCTTACCTTGTGTGTGTCTGCAGAGATGCTGGTAACACCTTTTACCCTGAAGTCAAATGGGGCGAGTGGGTAACCAGCCTTGGCCATGAACACAATAAGAAAACCACCCAGACAGGCATCCACATGCATCGGGATGTTGTAGCGTACAGCCAGCTGCAACACATCGAGGGAAAGTGTGAGGTGACTTCCCAGTTTTTGTCAAGAGTACATAAAAAAAACGGTGCACTTCTAACCTTGGCTACTTCCTCAATGGGATCTATGATTCCATGAGGAAACTGGGGAGCTGAGCAGACAAGCATGGCTGTGTTCTTGCTGATGGCTCTCCTCATGGCCTTGAAAGAGAACAAACAACACTGGAATAAATAATGCCTGGAAACAGAAGTCAGCACATGCTGTCTACACGTGTTCTCTCTCACCTTCACATCCACTTTCATAGTTTTATTGTCGAGAGGAATGTGAACCAGCTTCATCCCGAAATAATGTGCCGCTTTGTCAAAAGCTGCGTGGACGCTCACAGGTGCAAGGCTGCGGAAACAAAAGCAGGACACGAAAATGATTTCATGACTTTCTCTGGCAGGAACAAGCCTTGACACGGACCCTGTGTCCTGTAAAGCTCGGCTTACATTTCAGGGTGTTTGACGCCTCGCTCGTATGCGATGTCTCTGTATGCTTTGCAGGCCATCAGTATGCTCTCGGTTCCTCCTGAAGTGACCTGCACAAAGGAGCGGTAAGGATAAGACAAATTCAGTCCACCTTTTCTAAATGTAGGGATAGAGATTTGTGCATCGGTCTGATAACAGAGTTGCAAAAAAGAAATCTTTGGGATCACCAGAATTTCTGCATCGATCATAAAAGTGGTCAGATATTCAGCAAAGTCTCATTATAACTTTTCATGACTTTGAGTTACAACACAAACTGCAATTTTATTTCTTTGTATTTCTATAAAGGAGACTAGACTAGAAGTGGGTTTTAATTTGTCCCTGTCTATTATTATTATTATTGTATAACTGTGACGGAAATCCTGCCGATAAAGAAAATCAATCCTTTTCTTGCAAGTGACTACTGTATGGTGACTTACTGTGCCACAGGAGTTAGGCCCACCATGGAAGAGTGTGCAAGCCATTCTGACAACCTCTGCTTCCATCTTCCGTACGCCAGGAAAAATGTCTGGGTGGAGTGGATTGCTCCATGCAAAATCCCCATATACCTAAAAATAACCCCAAACAAACAAACAAATGAATGACAAAAGTAGTAAAGTGTTGCATAAACCGCAAACCTCAAACCAGGGTGAAACCAATGTCATCGAAAGGACCGACCAGGAAATGAAATCAAAAAATAACTTTGTTACTGTAAAAACTCCAAAATGTATTCAAGCTTGACCCTGGCCATTAATGCGTGGAATGCCAAAATCTGCAAATGTATACAGAGATGCATACCTTCACTAGGAGGTTGGTCAGTGACTCATCACCCCAGTACACTGCCCCAGAAACCAATCCCTTATCCCACTTCACCTCATCTGCAACAAAAGATTGATTCTTGAGAAATCACTGGCTTTCTCAAAGATATTATCCTTTTGAAAGATAAGTAGACAAGTTTTCTTATCAGCAATGAAGATTAGAAATACTTGGTGATACTGATAAAGAAGCAGGAATCTCAGGGCTGAATGAGGACTTACTCAGGGTGTCGTACTCCTTGATTTTCTCCATTACTTTGGCCTGAGAGAGACCTTTGGAGGGAAGCTCTGTGGTGTAGCTCATCCCCTCCTTGAGGGTAAATAGACTAGCAGACATGTCATCCAAAGCCTTGTTCAGCTGGCTCTGGATCTGATACAAAGAGAGGACAGAGTTACTTTACAGGCACAAACAGCAGTAGAGTAACGTAACCCATGACCTAAAATGGATATAGGAGAAGTAACAGTATTGCTGACTGAACAGAAGTAACCACATGTTATCACCAGAGCATCATCATTGTGCCAAAGGTCTGTCATTCCCACCCAACCCCCTCCATGACTTTGATATGCAGTCATCCAAGAATGACTCATAATAACCCCAGACACTCGTCAGCACACACCAGAAGGGGGGAAAATAAAAAAGGGAAGAGATTTACCACTGATACTTACTGCCCCGCCAACGAAGGGTATTTTTCTGATGAGTCTAAAGCACTGCTTCTTGATTCGTGATGTCAGACCTATTAACCAGAAAACACAAGGCAGCAGCTGTGGTGAAATGTTAGCATGCATGCATCCACAAATATTAAGCAGCTGACTGTGACCCATAATCACACGTTAAGGGAAGGCGTAGTCACGAGCCCCTTTCACTCTGCTCGCAAACACACTAAAGAACTAGACTTTTACCAAGAAGCCACACTCTGACCTTTCCCTCTCAGAGAGCTACAGATGGCTGGCCCTGACCTACTCGCTGAGGAATTTAAGCACAGATTCTTTGGAAGATCTAGAACAGGGGTGGGCAATCTCAGTCCACGAGGGCTGGTGTCCCTGCAGGTTTTAGATGTGTCCTCGAATCAACACAGCTGATTTAAATGGCTAAATTAGCTCCTCAACATGTCCTGAAGTTCTCCAGAGGCCTGGTAACGAACTAATCATGTGATTCAGGTGTGTTGACCCAAGGTGAGATCTAAAACCTGCAGGGACACCAGCCCTCGTGGACTGAGATTGCCCACCCCTGATCTAGAAAGTCGAGACAAATGATGGCTTTGCTCGGTTGTGCCGCAATTCTAGATAGTGTGCACTACATTAGCAGATGGTTAGCTGATTACATGCGTTATCTCAAGTCTCAAAGACTCTAGCAGGCCAACTTTGGACCCATTCTTATTGTGTGAAAGATTACTTTCTTGCTGGAAGAGGAAGCCTTTGACCCATAGTGCTCCCACTGTGGTGATCACTGTCACTCCGATGATCTGCCACGGCTCCAGATGGGCGCAGCGCGAGTTCACCTGCTGCCGGCCCTCCTCCAAATACAGCAGCACCATCTCCTTATACACCTCCAAGGCACTCTGGACATAGAGACACACAATATGCATTACAAGAGAAGTGCAGAGCAACCATCAGCTTTTCTCTAACAACAATCTGGATTTACAGAAGGCTCAAACTATTCAGTCAACAGCACTCATGTTTCCTGTGATACAGATCTCTTACGCGACTATGGTGATATGGGGAAGTTACCACTGAGTGCCATGTATTAAGAAAGTTAGTCACTGTTTGACAGCATAATAACTGCTTTCCTGCAAAATGAGGTAACAGTTAAATTTCAGCTCACTTAATCTGATTTTTTTTTTTTTTTTAAACAAGACACATAACTTGTGACTGTGCGATAGGAGCAGATGTACAGGTGTCCAGTAATACACTGCAGGTCAGGCCATAAACCATCAAAGACAGTGACTGACAACACGTCCAATTACTTTAAGGGAAAGTAACTAATCTTTCAAGTGCGAGTACTTACTTTTGAAGACATTGCCAGACCTACAGATCCCACCCTCACACACTTTAAACGCACTCGGCACTTTTCCTGACTGTCAGGTGAAGAGACAGCCAGCACTCGGTACACCAGGTGAAAGTGAGAGAACACGTTCAGCGAACTGTAGATCTACAAGCAGACTCCTCCCACTAGTCACATAACACATCCAGCCCGTTAAGGTAATCAGTCAGGATTAGACGAGACGGGAAAGACTGAGCTACAAATTTACGACGAGGTATAATTTACGTCTCTTTCAAAGCACGATCACAGGTGAATACTTTCCTGTCAGTTCAAATGTGTATGTAATGATTTAGCCCGAGGACATCTAAGTGAGCCTTAATCACAGTGAAATGCCCGTCAATGGGATTGCATAAGCGCAGCAAATTTATCTTTGCATTATCTCCCTCACAAAGTCTTTTTACAACACAACAGCAGGCAGTTTGATCGTGAGGACTTGCCACCTCAGCTGCAATAAGAAAGCTTAAGGTTCAACAGCAGTATCTTAACTAATCACAATCTGTTCTGCCACAGCAAAAATAACACAATGAGGCGAGTCCTCTTAGTGCGACGGAAAGGCCGTTTACTGTGTGAAAGAACAACCTAACCCCCCCCCCCATTAAATCCTAGGTAAAGGGTTGTTAATGAGCCATGGGAGTCCTACCCCCTGACCAGGCAGCAGCTGCCATACCTGCCTGTTTTGGACAGCCTGTTCTCATACAGGTTTAGCAAGATCAGCTGCAAAGAGCTGACTGAAGCAACAGAAAATAAGCAACTAACATATGTTGAATGGGAAGCTTGACTTGAGTCATGACAGGCATGTAATTTAGCACACGGCCCATATTTGATTGCTGTCACACATCTGTCAACTAAACAAATAAATAAATACATGAATAAATAAATAAATAAATAAATACATGAATAAATAAATAAATAAATAAATAAAGATTAGAGCACTTCCTTTTTTGACTCTACTTCAGCCTCAGATCCCACACACACAGCTTTCCCTCAGGAAAACTTACACCAGGTTCACACAAAGCCTCTTGTACCAGTTTTGTGCTACTCCTTGTTGAACAGTGGACACCCATTCTTTTGTTCACCCCCACCCTATACAACATTTAACTATTCTTCTAATGAGACCTTTTGTTGTTTCAAATGGGAGGTCATGTTCTTGTGGAAATATACTGGGCGTGAGGTGGTTGCTCCTGGATACATGAAGGAAAAAACAGTCAGCTTGCTAAAACATCACCAAAGCTCAAAGAGAGATGAGGAGATCACTGAGGGGGGAGAATAATTACAGATGTGGTGTCTGGAAATGTTTTATTTAAACTTCTACAAAGCCTCCAGACTGCCACAGTATCAAACGATATTTAGGTCAACATCAAAAGTATGTTTTTTGTTTAGTTTTTTTCCCCCTTGAGATAATTCTTCTCTCTCCTGTGATGACCTGAAGGAGCTCAGAGCGATTTCTGCCCTGACAGCAGATCTGTGTCAGACCAGCTGCCATCTCCTGCCGTCTCTTTTGTCTGCCTCTGATTACTTCAATTAGAAAGAAAGAAAAAAAACCCACAGTGCTTCCACAACCTTAAACAACTCTCCCGTGGGACTACTAAGAGAAGTGCTTTGTTTAAACTTCCTGCAGGTTTATGTTGAACAGGATTTCTACTTTTAAACAGAGGCAGCCACAATAAACAATAGTGAATGAGCCGCAAAACACGCAGGCAAAGAGGAAGGATCTTATTTTATTAGACTTTAAACCAATAAAAGTGCACCATGAACCTGTAGTTACATCTTGTATACCATCTTTTTTATAACAGGGCCAAAAAGTATCGATGAAGATTAAATGTTTCCTGAAAAACAACCATATGTCTGTAACACGAAGCTCTCTTAACAAGAGTGCCTGCCAGTGTTTGTGGACTCGGAGCATCCCTCACAGCAAAACAACTCGGGCCATTAGCTCACTTCAATACTGATAAACAAGTCTGCTTCTTCGGGCGTCCTGAAGCCGCACTGTCATTGTCCCGTCTGCCACACTGCCTGTAACGTGAGACGGAGAGAAAGTACAGAGACACCTACCCAGTAGTCCATGTTCTCGAGGCAAACTGTCACCGAAAGTTCCCTTTATTTAGCCTGCTTCTCGGGAAAGTCACCTCCAGCAGCCTTTGCTATGAGTCCTCTACTCTCATCTACATGCTACTACCAAACACAGCAGCAAGCTAACCCTGATTGAGGAAGTAACAAATACACTCGCCTATAACTGCACGCGGTCTGCGCATGTGTAGATCTGATGACGCTGTGCCGCTGTGAAATCTACCAATCTACCAGGCACCGCGTGCTTTGTAGATCTTCTCTCCGAGTCGCAGGAACGTCGCACGTTTTCACACCCACAACTGGATGTGAAATGCTGCGTTCAGAGACGCCACGTAAAAGACAATTCACCGTCATGTGAGTCCAGTAATGCCATGGAAACCACCGTATTTATTGAAATATTTACGCCTCGAGTCAGTGACCTTTACCCCAGAAATGTTTGACGAGCAGACACCAAAGTACCTTTTCGTAATAAATCTTAATTTGCTCAGATCATTTCGGCATTTGAGTTTTCTTCAGCGGAGAACAATCAATTTTTTGCCATCCTAAAAAAAAGGTATATATTACTAAAGGTCACATTCTCTGATTCTCCGATAATTATAAAGACAGATAGTGGCTCTCATTCCTTGATAGACACGTTCTTGTTTACAACTGGATTATACTCGTTTACTTTTACTCAACTTAAAGTATACATATTTTAACATCAGTGAACGCCTCATTTAGCATTTTGTGTAACAAGACGAAATTTTGTCTAGAAGGGAAAACAGCGCCGCGGAGCTGCCGGGTACTGTAACTGCACATCTAAATACACTAATTTTGAGTGGGATATCTTCTGTTGTAGACAATTAAAAAAGTAGTTGTACAGCTGCCGTTTTATTGATAAAATTAAATTGGTCGTCTTAAAAGAACATAAATAAAAAAGTTATTAAACTAGGTTGACTTGTGGAATAAGGTTAAACCAACACAATAACCCAGACACATTATGTGTTTTGCTCTTTTGTTGTTGTAGTGGTAACTGAAGTCCATGTAGTTAATTTGCCCTGGATAGTCTGTACGTCACTTTTATCACATTTACAGTTGAGCTCTTCATCTGTTTGTCATATAAAACCAGTAAAAACACCCTAAATATAATTATTTTAGCCTGAAATGTATTTATTTTTCCCCCTAAAGTGACCCAAAATATACAAAATTCAAACATTTTAAAATTTTAGCCTGTGGTACAGGTGTTATCAAATCTTGTGCAATGAGGCTGTTCTGAGGTAAACCTGAAACTTTTATGTTTTGTGTTCTAAGTGTTACACTATTAAAAAAGATGTTTATATCGATCATTATAGACGATAGTGATGATATTTTTTAATGATACAGAACTGAGCAGAGTGTTTAATGGATGTAATGGTTATAAATGTTTATACAATAATTCCCAATTGTTCCAGAATGATGTTCTCGCCATTTTCACTTTCAATAAAATAAAATAAATTTCATTTCTTAAGTAAAAGAAGATATGAGATCCATAAAATGACATGTGGTGTGCCTCAAGGGTCAGTTTTAGGCCCTGTACTTTTTAATTTGTATATGCTCCCTCTCGGCGGTGTCATCAGGAGGCATGGAGTGA